CAGCTAGCATTAGCTATATTTACCTTGTTTACACTTAGCGGTCTTATGTGTTAATCTGTGTATGTTACACTTGCATGAATGAGATCATTAAGTGCCTTGTAACTTCTTCTTTTATAGTTTCACTCAGTTTGAATGTCAGTGGACTGCAAATAAGTCAATAAAGGAGCATGGCTGCTCATTCCCTGGCTCTCAAAAGAGTTTGGCTGGCTGTCTAATCTATGTTCACACTGAGACAGTACAACACATAGAGAGAACAGTACACCTAGTGTGTAAGTACATACAAGCAGGTCACACAGTATGCTCACAAATACATACAATCTGTTTTTATTAAAAAGTACAGGCTGCATGTGTTCTCAGCCTTGGAGAAACTTGACATGTTTTGGTATGTGTCTGAACCTCTCTTTAGTGATTCATTAATAAAACAGATATTTCAACGTGTGCCTACTTTGTTCATGTACTGTTGAGGTTCATTTCAGTAGTTGTGTGCTATAATGTATTTACAAAGTGTGAAGAGGAGGCAACTTTAGAATAGGGAACCTGTTCAGGTCAATTAGAGTCAAACTACTAGCTTATTGGTTATGAACAAGACTTCACTTTAAAATAGGGAATATGTTCTGAGATATAAATACCTAATTTTGAGTTATTTAGACACAATTAACACTTATCGTTTCATGTCTTGTTACATAAGAATAGATCATATTTGTTAAAGGTAGGGTAGGTAAGTTTGAGAAACCGGCTCGAGATACACTTTTTGTTATATTCCATGGAATGCTCTTAACATCCCGATAGCAATGAATATCTGAAGTGCTTTGACCAAAAATCCATAAAAAAATATCATCTGTGGAAGCCGTAGTACTGTAAAAAGTACGACCAATCATTTTAGCCGGCCCGGCTAAAATAACTGGATGGCCTACCTGCCTGTCAGCCTTCCTATCTGTGCACAAGCTTATCTCGTGCCCTCATTGGTCATGTGCGCGTTCGTGTGTGTTGGAGGAGGAAGTGGCAGATTTTCTCCGGTTGTGTATTTTCAAATTCTAGCGATCTCGAGCCGGTTTCTCAAACTTACCTACCCTACCTTTAAGTGTTATTATGGGAGAATTACTATTCTTGTAGTACTACTGCCTTATTAGGCCCATATTGAGCAGAGCATATTAAGACCCAAACTCATGTACAACAACTTCCTTACTTGCAATAAATAAGCACTAATTAGAGGGTTATTGAGGAAAAACTCTCAACTAATGGCTTATTACTTGTAGAATATGGTCATGTAGAATAAGGCATTAATAAGTGTTTTATAATGACTAATAAAGAGCCAATATACTGCTAATATGCATGTTAATTAACAACTAGTTGATGGTGAATTTGTATACCTTAATATAAAGTGTTACCGCATAAAGTTATATAACAAGAATCTAAATTGAGATGTACCTTAAATAGTATTTAATGGACTCAGTAAAGCTCCACCAAAGAACTTGAGACCAGAGAGAGGGTACCACAGTCTCTGTCTCTGCTGTCTGTTTGCAGAATCAATCAATTCAACGATTTGTTGCTGATTGATTCAAAACTGATATTATATGAAAACAAGGACCTATTTAGCACCTTAGTTGTGTGGAAGCCTTTTATGAGAATGAAATGGCTCATATGTTTCTTTGTCACATATAACAGTACATCCTGATTATCTTGATGGATGTAATGGAAGATCATTGGTGCAGAAGATGCTTTACAGCGGTGTCACTCTGAGAAGAGGCTTGAGACTCTGATCTTTCTTCCTGAAGCTCTATTTCAGTTTTCAGATGCTTTTGGTGGAGATAGAGGAGGAGGGAAGCATGGCAGCTTGTCAGAGGGAATTCAGGAAGCACTCAGCTCTTTATGTGGTGCTTCCTCGACTCGCTGAAGAACATTGAGACCAGTGGAGAGGACGATAAAGACGGAGCAGAAAGTCCAGCCAGAGCCGAATCATTCTCCCTCCTCGACTGCTGGGGAGTCAAATCCTTTTTGGAGCTTTGTGATCTCTTGGTGCATTTATGTCACTGACATTGGATTAAGATACATAGATAGATACATAGATACTTTATTAATCCCAATGTGGGAAATCATTTTGTTACAGGACCAGTGTTTTCAACATTAACCTGTTAACCCCTTTGCCTGTTTTTCAGGTCTCAGGCTCGAAAATGACATTCCCAGAACAAATGACCATATCTTCCCTTCTAAAAGGGTTAAATTAATAATCTTTATTCTCAAAGTAATGATAAACCTGTGAGTTGGATGTAGAAAAGTCAGAATCAATATAGAATTTTTTTATTTTAAGGTAAATTCAGATTGAACATAGTAAAAAACTGTAAATTATTGTGTCCGTCCAAAAATTCTTTTTTACTTATAGTGAAAACTACCCTTGAATGATGGGTTAGTAGACTAAAAGCTTTAGGAATCCAAACTATAACATATAATAAGTACCCTGTATCAAGATTGATGCAAAACAAGTGAAATTTGACCTTTTTAGAGAGATTTAGGGAAAAAAACCCACTTCTGGGGTCATTTGGGTGGATTTTCCGTATCTCTGGCCCCCCTTGGTCGATTTTGATGATTGACACCTCTCTTTAACCGTTAGAGCCAATAGAATCGAGGGGGAGGTTCCTAAATCCATCTACACGTTACCATGAGGAGTGAGAGTGATGCACACCCAGTTTGCCCAAACCGAATACCATGATACTCTCTGAAAACTGAAAACTACGCTTTTTTCCATAAATATGATGATGGATTATCAGTAATCATTTCAAAGTGACACAGACATTGGATTAACCTTCAGCAGCGTTTTTACCATTTTAATGCCATTGAACACAACTTTTGATCAGAAAACAGCAACGGTAAGACATATTTTCCGTTTTGGTCCCGTAAAGCTACGTTGTGTGTTGTCTGGCTTTGCTTCTCATGCCGCGAGTTTTGATCGCTCAGTGATGATACTTATACCCTTATAATCTGTGGAATCTCAGTTTGCTAGCTGATATCTTGTTTGTGCAGATCCGATAAGTAATAAATTATTTCTACCGTGAGTTCTGTGCTAAGTGCGTTAGCATTTTTTCACTTCGTGCTAATTCAGAGGCTTGGCGTTAGAGTTGTGTTTCATTTAGCTAAAAATGGTTCATATTGTCAGTTAGCTGAGTTTCCTCCCGTTAAGTGGGTATAACACATTAATAGGTTGTTAAATGTTAACCTGTTACGCACCATCCGCCCGGTACCGGGCGGATAAACGCGTCATTTGCAGGAAACAACGTCTAAGGAATCTTAATATTTAATAAACTATGAATGTTTTATATCCATGTAACGGGAAGAAACTCAGCTAACTGATCTTTTAAAAAAAAAATCAAAAAAAACCCCACAATGCTAACACTCAGCCTCTGAATTAGCCACGAGCGAAAAAAATGTAACCTATCTCTGCAACTAAACTCACAATAACTCCATTATTACTTATCCTAGATGCACAGCCAACCCATCGATTAGCATCAGCTGGAGACACTGAATCTAGTGGTGCCCACCTCAACACTCAGTGATAAACATTTGCGACGCTATAAACAAAAGCGTACATCATAACATGTGGAGCTAGGTAGCTAGAAACGCTAACATGGCTTACCTTGGTCAAAACTGGTCTTCAATGGCATTAAAACGATACAAAAACGATGCTGCCGTTAATCCATGGGTTAATCCTATGTGTCTGTGTCCTCTTTGAAATGATTTCTGATCATCCATAAGCAATAAAACTGCTTTTTCGTTTCCAAATGTCAGAGCGAGAGATCGGTCCCCTTGATGCAAAATTACAAGCGCGCAGCCCCCACCTTTTCTCTTCACAACGTGTGTGTGTGGGGGCCTCCCCCTTCGATTCTATTGGCTCTAACGGTCAGAAAGAGGTGTCAACCATCAAAATCAAGCAAGGGGGGCCAGAGATATGGAAAAATAAACATTTTCACCCAAATCACCTCAGAGGTGGGGTGATTTTGGCTAAACCTCTCTAAAAAGGTCAAATGTCACTTGTTTTGCATCAATCTTGATACAGGGTACTTATTATATGTTGTACTTTGGATTCCTAAAGCTTTTAGTCTACTAACCCATCATCCAAGGGTAGTTTTCACTATCTGTAAAAAAGAATTTTTGGACGGACACTATAATTTACAGTTTTTTACTATGTAAAATCTGAATTCTCTTTAAAATAAAAAACATTTATATTGATTCTGACACTTCTACATCCAACTCACAGATGTAACCTTGCTTTGATAAAAGAAATTATTCATATAACCCTTTTAGAAGTTAAATTGTAGTCATTTGTTTTGGGCATGTCATTTTCGAGCCTGAAACAGGCTTGGTGCTTAACAGGTTAAGAAGCCCTGAGACACAGTTTCGTGAAAAAACTGTTTAAAATACAAATACTTAAAAAGTGGAATAGAGTTAACAATTAAAATGAAAATGTATAAAATATATCCAATATAAACAATATAAAACATTGTGGATAATTAAAATGATCTTTAAAAAGTGCAAACATGGAAAATATTCTTATACTATACTGTATATGGGAGCATATCATTTACAAATATTCAGAAAATTGCAAGTTGTTATCAGGAAGGAGAGCTCAACTATGCAGCAGTGAGTTCTCTGCAGCCACTTGAACATTTCTCCAGTTATTTTAGTTTGTGCTACTGTTGGGGACAGAGTTATTTCAAAACAAGGATTTTTTATTTGAAGTTGGGACTTTTGGTCTTTGGGAGTCACTCCAGTTAGACAGAAGTGAACACTGTTCAAAAGGAAGCTGAGCACCCATGAGTTTAGTGTGGCTTTTATACATTTAGATTTACAATGTTCCTGTGTGTGTGTGTGTGTGTGTGTGTGTGTGTGTGTGTGTGTGTGTGTGTGTGTGTGTGTGTGTGTGTGTGTGTGTGTGTGTCCTCAGTGAAGTGTAGCTTCCAGCTGCAGCAGTCAGCTCAGTTCCTGTTCAGTCTGACTGAGGGAGGTTTTTGTACGACGCTTTTTCACTGTGTGAACACTTGCTGACTGTTGATGACATGGAAACTCTGACAGTAGTAAACTGCTGCATCATCAGTCTGGACTCCACTGATGGTCAGAGTGAAGTCAGAGTTTGATCCACTGCCTGTAAAACGGTCTGAAATCCCTGATACTCGAGTGCTAGTAGTGTGAATGAGCAGTTTAGGAGTTCCTCCATCTCTCTGTTGGTACCAGGCTAAATATATCCCACCATAAACCTTCTGACTGGTCGTACATGTGATGGAGACGGAGCGTCCCGGAGCAGAGCTCACTGCTCCAGACTGAGTCACTGTGACCTGGCCTCTGGACTCTGAGGATACAGAGACAAAGACATAAAGCAGCGTCATGGTTTTGTCCGCTTCATTTCAGAGGGACGGATGTTCACAGAGGAGAGGAGTTTGATTCTCTGGACTTTACCTGTGAAGCAGCAGCAGAGGAGAGTCCAGATGAGGACGCAGATCAAAGTCATGTTTTTGATGAGGAGGATTTCTGTGGCTTCTGTTGTCATGAAGGACAGCTGTCAGTCATCCAGTGCTCAACTCTCAGGACTATAAAGTGTCCCAGAGCACTGGAGCATGGTGCTGCTGATGCAAAGTGTCTCTCTATGGAAATGCTCTGACTCCAACAGGGACCTGGATTACTCTGATGATGCTGTTTATCAATGGATCCATCTCTCTGTCAGAGGATTGATCAGGAATGGGTCAGCGCTCACTTGTATGAGGCTTTAAGTTCAATGGACACATTTTCTTGTAGTTCATTTTATTAAAAAGCTCAAATTCATAACTCCTAATAATCAATACCACCTAGGAAAAACAAAATGGAGATTTATTATTGATCCTGATGGAAAAGCAAACATGTATTTATGGAAATGAGGCACATTCAGAAGTATAATAGCTTTTTTTAAGCGTTCATTGTTTCATTTAAGTAATCAATTACTTTGATGTTTAAAAGTTGATCAAATCATGAAACTAAACATATTTTGTGAACAATTCGTATTCAAAAGAAGAATCTTCATTAAAACTGAAGAGATAAGTAGATATTTGTTTTAAATGTTTAAAAGGTTCAATAGAGAAACAGTAGATACTTTTCCATAGTGTGTGAATCTGTTTCAAACATTTGAAGCCATTTGAAAATCCATCAACTACCAAAGAGGCAATTGAAAGTCCAATAGGAAAGTATTCATTTAGGTCAGTGTATTGTAGAATCCATTTTGTTTCTGTTTTAATGACATTAAATATCTGCTTAATGTCAAGAAAAAGCATTTATTTGTAACCGAACATGGTGAATGATTACAGAACTGAAAATAAAAAAACGTTTACAACACCTGTGAAAACACTAATGTCCTTACAACACTATTTAGCCTTTTTCAATGTTGGCTTTACATGGTTCCTAATGTATTGCTTTCAGTTTCATTCATGTTCCGGTCTGGGAACAGCAGAACTAAGTCTTCTTAAACACCACCTGTCTGCCAGCATGAGAGCCCCACCCCCCCCGCCTCACTACTATCCCTCCCTTGGGCCAGAGTGAATACCACACCCTATTTGAGATCAGGCCGGGGTTAGGACTCTGTTCTTGTCACGTAAAGCACAAATCCAATCTTAAATAAGTAAATGTAAGATATGCAAATGCTACTCTTGAATCATCTGATGTTGAGAAATAATGTAGTGATTAATCTAGCATTTAACTAGATTGCCATAACTGGTCTGTTCAGAGAAAAGATATATACATGTTAAACACCACTGCCTCCAAGTGACTGAATTGAGCAATAGCATCTCTGTGTGAAAACATGTTTGATTGAACTGAGCAAGTGAATACATACAACCCATCTAGGCAGATAGGTCATGTTAAACAGTGTATTTATTGACGAGAGGAAAGCATAGGTTCAGGTTCAGTCAATGAACAACTTTATTTTCTTGACATTAATAAAACAGATCAATAAAGCTTTCTAATACTCCTCTCCTTCCTCTTCCTCATCTTCCAGGCTATCAGCTCCAACCTCCTCGTAATCTTTCTCCAGAGCGGCCATGTCCTCTCTGGCCTCAGAGAACTCTCCCTCCTCCATACCCTCACCCACATACCAGTGCACAAAGGCACGCTTAGCGTACATCAGATCAAACTTGTGGTCCAGCCGAGCCCAGGCCTCTGCAATAGCAGTGGTGTTGCTCAGCATGCACACAGCCCTCTGGACCTTGGCCAGGTCTCCACCAGGAACTACAGTGGGCGGCTGGTAGTTGATGCCCACCTTGAAACCAGTGGGGCACCAGTCCACAAACTGGATGGAGCGCTTGCTTTTGATGGTGGCAATGGCAGCGTTCACATCTTTGGGAACGACATCACCACGATACAAAAGGCAGCAGGCCATGTATTTACCGTGGCGTGGGTCGCATTTCACCAACTGATTGGCTGGCTCGAAGCAGGAATTAGTGATTTCTGCCACCGAGAGCTGCTCATGGTAAGCTTTCTCTGCAGAAATAACAGGGGCATAGGTGGCCAGAGGGAAGTGGATACGGGGGTAGGGCACCAAGTTGGTCTGGAACTCTGTCAGATCAACATTGAGGGCACCATCAAAACGAAGGGAGGCAGTGATGGAGGACACAATTTGACTCATTAACCTGTTCAGGTTTGTGTAAGAGGGACGCTCGATATCCAGCTTTTTACAGCAGATATCATAAATGGCCTCATTATCAACCATGAAGGCACAGTCAGAGTGCTCCAGGGTGGTGTGGGTGGTGAGGATGGCGTTGTAGGGCTCCACCACAGCGGTGGACACCTGGGGAGCTGGGTAGACGGAGAACTCCAGTTTGGACTTCTTGCCGTAGTCGACGGACAGACGCTCCATCAGCAGGGAGGTGAAACCAGAGCCGGTGCCCCCTCCGAAGCTGTGGAACACCAGGAAACCCTGAAGACCGGTGCACTGGTCGGACTGAAAGAAAGAGAAAATCATGAAATAATATTAATAAAATGTATTTATATAATACAAAGACAGCAGTGCCAAGGGTTCACAGCTAAGGATAAAAAAAGTGTATTAGTGCACAGCATGTAAACATATAGATTCAATGAAAACAGATCAGAGATAAGAGGGTGCCATACCATGGAGGGCTTTGAATGCGATCAGGAGGATCTTAAACTGAATTCTGCAGGGTGGAGGAAGCCGATGCAAGTGGGCCAGAATCAGGGAAATATGCTCACTTTGAAAGAGTGATACCAGATTGTTATGTCTTGTGTTTGTTTAAAACACTGTACAGCTCTACATTTTAAAACATATACTTCACATATTTATTATTAGTTATGACACTTAGCTTTTGCAATACTTATTTTTGCCATTCACCACAATATGATTGCATACTCCTTGTATGTGAAAACCTACTTAGCAATAAACTGATTCATTTCCATTTAATAATCTTCAGAAAAATGGACTTCTGTTCTAAATGTACTGACCAGCTTTCGGATTCTGTCCATCACCAGGTCGATGACCTCCTTGCCGATGGTGTAGTGTCCTCGGGCGTAGTTGTTGGCAGCATCCTCCTTGCCAGTGATCAGCTGCTCAGGGTGGAACAGCTGGCGGTAAGTCCCCTTGCGCACCTCATCTAAGGGTAATGAGCATTAGATTATTGAAGGTTTTGAATGACAGAGGGGGGGAAAAGGCATTTATGATACTTTTATCATTTATAATGAATGAGAATGTACCGATGACAGTGGGCTCCAGGTCAACAAACACTGCTCTGGGGACGTGCTTTCCAGCTCCAGTCTCCATGAAGAAGGTGCTTAAGGAATCGTCCCCTCCTCCTGAGATGTTCTGGTCACCAGGCTTCCTGCCGTCCGGCTGGATCCCATGTTCCAGGCAGTAAAGCTCCCAGCAGGAATTGCCAATCTGCACCCCAGCCTGACCAACATGGATTGAGAGGCACTCGCGCTGTAAAAGGTTGTTAAGAAACTATCATAAAAAAGGAAGCCTAGTGGCTGATTCTTGTGCAAAAACAGTGTAACATACATACATTCTAGTGGCATATCACCACATGTGGGAGGACTGCTCTAGAGAAAAAGGCTATTTTAAAAAGAACCAAACATCATATCATGATTTAAGTCACCTGACGCACACATTTGTCATCTGAACAGAAAGAGTTATATAATTATAAAAAGAGGCTAAATACTGTTTATACGTGGAACAACCGAAAGCACAATGACGCAGTTGTTGGCAGACAGGTGGCACGATTGGACGTGAATGTGGGCCAGGGTTAAGAGAGGAGACTACGCATTTACATTTTCTGCAACTGCGTCACACGGATTGCGCCACTGCCACACCCCTTTAGACGAGTGGCGTGGCAGGCCAGAAGGTAAACACACATAATAATCATCTAATTCGACCTAAATAAAGTACAAATTGGAACACAAAGTCCTTATCTTGTTTTTCGTAATACAATAATTACTCCAGGTTAAGCCGGAAAAATGCATTTGCAAAGCACGTCAATAAATAAAATCCACTTGACCCAGTCTATGTAATGAAAGAATATATTTTGATGTAATCATTTCAGACGTAGCCTACGTTGTAAAAATGCCCTGGTTCACTGAAATTCGGAAAAAAATGTTTTATCTGTGTTCATATCATGTTTTAAATATGAAACCATTAAACCTGGCCACTAATGAGACAAGTATATTCGCGCCGATTGTAAATGCATCACTTCAACATCTTGACTGTGCCGTCGAGTTACACTTAATTTACCAACACCACAGTTAAAACGACTTATTAATGACGAAGCTTGATTTAACAGCTTACACCGCAACATTTTTGTTTCACTATAAAAATGATGGGTCTTCTTTAAAGAGTAAGCGGTTAAAAAACGTTAAGCTGGTTACGTTTTCGCATGATGACACACGTTCAGAGCGCTACATTTGGTTTAACACACATCCTCTAAGTGGAGAAAACCTGTACTATCGTACTCACCATTTTTCTGAAGATGTGAAGACAGAGGGTTTCGATAACGAAGAGGAAAAGGCAAAGTTATCTCTCACGGCAGGGCCTGTATGAGTCCAGGGTAAGAAGTAACAGGTGTATTCTTTCTAGGCGGGGCTATTTATCGCAATTGCTGCGGAATCTGATTGGATGAAAAGACAAGTGGGTCCACTTCTGATTGGTTGAATTCTTTAGAATTTTTTTTAAAGAAACTTTATTGAGCACATGGAAAACAAGAACACTGGCTAACAAAATTCCTGTTCAAAGCGAATCACCCCACCTAAGAACGTCAGTCCCACTGGGAAAACGTGGTTATTGCTGAACATTAATAAATAGTCGTCGTAGAATAATACAACACATGCATATTACTATACAAGAACGTTTAGCAAATAAGATAATAAGAAAAAAAGATTGGCATATTCCGACTTTTGACGTTCAAATTTGAATTACGATAAATATATATATATATTTAAGCATGGGCGTAGGAAGCATCCTCAATGTGGGTTGGACAATTTGACAGGGGGTGTGGGCAGGGCCGGCCCTTGTCTTTTGGGGGCCCTAAGCAAGCTTTGGCTTGGGGGCCCCCCTCACTCTA